TTTGTGGTCCACCGGCCTCTCTCCGAACGTCCTCTATCCCCATTCGAAGTTTACCCTTGGAAATATCTGAGATTCTGAATTAAAATCACTTACGATGCTCCATAGGTACCTTTGGCTAGGNCCGACTTATCGACAGGAATTTTAATTGGTAGTTGGATCATTAATGCGGGAATAGATAAGAAAGTAAAGCAGTGGAATATGAGCACCATACTTTCAGAAGAACCCACACCCTCACTCTTTCCCTTCAGGTAAGAGGAACAACGACAATGTGCATAAGATGAAAAGAGCAGGTGACAAGAGATATTTGTGGATCAACGGTCCCTCTCCGATCGTCCTCTATCCCCATTCGAAGTTTACACTTGGAAATATCTGAGATTCTGAATTAAAATCACTTACGATGCTCCATAGGTACCTTTGGCTAGGATCAAAGTCAGGTCTGGACTCTTTTTCACATAATCACCTTCTTAGCTATGCATCTGTTTCCCTGGGCTCATGGACTCCCTTTTTATTGCATTCTCTGCATTCAAAAATAGGGTTCATAAGGGTTGCGTGACTGTGATTACAAGACTTCCTGGCCGTGTTCTTCCGCCTCAAACTTCTGTCGATTATGCCCATCTGATGGATTGTTTTCTTGAGCTCTTGAGTTCTTCACGGGGTTCGTATACAAGCCTCAGTAAGCCGGCAAATCGGCAAACAGTCACGAATTGCTACGATCCTCTCAGGCTCTAAACAAGGGCGACTTTGCCAAACCCCCAGCCCAATGGGCTTATATGCAGACTCCGTGAATATCGCAAGGAAACAGTTCAATAATACAGTATTATGCCGAAATTCATAGGAAAGCCGTACGGTGGATCGTATTCTTGAGGTCGTTTTTTTATTTTCATAATTTATGAGAGTCAATGTCACGAAGCTTGATCCCGAAGGCTATTCTGAAGAAAGTTACTGCAGCCATTTCGGGGACAAATTATTGGGAAAGTTTGTTGAAAATTTATAGCCATCCACCTCATATTCGTCAACCATTTATTACTCACATAAATTTTGGTCCTTATTTGATATGCAATTTAGGAGGGCAGCAGGGCATTCGGCTTATGATGCTCCATGATTTGCCTCCACTGCGCCATCCCCACGATTCAATCCGGTAGACAGTTAGCCCCACTTATCTGAAAATCCCCTACAAAAGCCGAGCTCAGGATTTCATAAGGGATTCAAAGTGCCGACGACAGTGCCACTCGCACAACAGAGCAACACGTCCAAGGGGTTATGGCTGGAAGTTGCTTTCTGAAACCCTGGTAGGCTCAGATCCTCGCGCCTTCCTATCGTGATGCAATTTTATCATTCCTTCACCTTCCGTGATTAGGAACTGAACCTTCTGAGCTCCTTCCCTCCTGATCCGAGAATTTCTATGGTGCTCATTACCGTAGTTCAGGTTCCATGGCTGCATACCACTTCCATACCAATTGATCTTCATTGGCCAGGCTGCCATTTGGCCGAGGCTTTACCCTTGCTCTCGTCGCAGTGTCATTTGAATAAGAGACGTGCTCTGAATGCAAATTTTTGCAACGTGACCGACTGCAATGAGAATTTCTTCAATTGGCTGATAGAAGGAAAAAAATTGGAAATAGCCAGTTGCAAAATTCGCGAGAAAGTCGATGACGCCTTTAATTAAACGCACTGTTTGCGTAAAGGGGGTATGGAAGAAAACATGTGAACCACTGCACTCTTCCAATCTCATCCTTCCCATTCCTTCAACCCACGACCATACTGAGGAGTCCTATAAGGGTAGATGACGATTCCCTACAGAATCACAAATGCCAGATACTTATTGAAGATCGTTCTCGCTACTTGCCCTGAACCGCCTAAGAGTGGGGTGGTGTGGGAGCTTTCTGGGACCATACTCCACCTACTGCTAAGCTTATCCTGGCAAACTGTAGTAAGTCAATCCAAACTTGCCCGTGCTCGTCATGATGATGTTGGATCTCCCATGAGACCTACAACCTTCCTCTAGGCTGTTGGCCGGCTATATATCTAGACAAAAACCGACACAGGTAAGGAAATGGGCATCATTAACTGGCCATTTATAGCTGCTATTGTCTTCAATCCAGTCGGTTCTCAAGTAGTACTCGTCACTGTGGTTGCATGGGTGAATTACTGGGCTGTAGCTGTCTCTCTGTTAGTCACCTTCAGTACCTGGGTTGCCCTTTCCAACAATATTTAGCCATCAATAGCTGTCTATAACCCGGGGTCATTGCTCATTTCTGAACAAGAAAGCTGCATTGCCTCAGATATGTATAATAAGTAGCTCTGCCTGATGTATGATTTAGTAAAAAGGGCGTGGAAAAAATAACCTCCTTGAAAAATATATGGTTGGTACTTTTCTACGAAAAGTCTGAATTAGTCGTTATTTTCACGAACTCGCAACGGGCGTTGCCTAGTCGCCAAGTTAATTACTGTTGTTTGAAGACATTTTCTGTAATACGTCGTGACTTCACGTTTTAATCGGGGGATTCGCCTCATTTCTGCCCACAGTACTTCCATCTACGACTCAAATCGAACAATAGTCGATATTTCAGAGCTTTTCAAACGGCTTTTCTGCCGAATTCTACCTGGTCTGATTCCAGTTCTTCCATTTGTTCAGTCTTACGATTTGAGTGAGGACCCTGCTAGGATTAACTAATCAGTCTCTTGTTGAACCGAGAAAACTGCCGTCAGACTTCAGTACCGGGTAGTACTCTGATCACTTGGGTTCTGAGCTGTCCGACGGAACTGAAATTCTGGGATCTTATGCTTTGTTTTTAAATAGCCCCCAAACGAGGCGATCGGTTTTCGAGCCTGCCATCGACCTTCAATTTGAAATCATGACAAATTCAGTTTGCTGAAAATTTTCTACGGTAAGTAGCGAAATGAATTTTCCTCAATGAAGATGATAAACGAGGCCATTAGGTCCTCAGAAACCTGAAATATTGTCCCGCAACTTGTCACGTTGGCTCCGGCTCTACCCATAAAGTAGCACTGCCCTCATAACTTTGCTCTTTCCATGCTTGAATATACGCGGGCTGCCTCGTTGAAATCGTTCATTTTGTTTTGCACTCATTGTTTTCCTAGGAAGTTTACCCAAAAAGTTTACCCTTTAGCCCAGTGATTGCCCAAGAGTGTCAATAGCTTCAACCGACGAAACTTGAAGATAAACTTCAAGGAGCCCCAGATTAAGTACGTCTGTCACATCTCTCAGGAAGTGGGGTAACAGTGGGAGGAGTAGTAAGATAAGAGTTCGAACTCAGTACTGTAACCGCTTGCGTAGAACACCAAGGCGCTGGTCGGCATCTGAAAAAGCCAGTCGTTCCGACAGAGTTCTGGTCTTTGAAGGGCAGGAGGTTTCTTCCGACGAATTTTTCTATATTGGAGTCATGCGGAAATTGAAGCCAGTGACTGCCCTTACCCATTAAACAGTTTTTTGACAGTTGCGGAAGTCCTAACGGAGAGTTATACTGGTAAATGTCACTTAGGGTAGGACGCTAATCTAAGCCTACAGAACTCATATTTCATTCAGGGTATAGCTCAGTCGTAAGCTCATGCTCCTTAAAAACCCAATCACATTTACTGCAAGCATGAGGGACATTCCCAATAGGGAAGATAAAAGCATATTGCCGCACCGGGTGTCCCCCTATCTACCGACTTTGCCCAGGCTTACTTTAATCTATGATTTTGAATCTAATCTCCCTACTCGAAAGAGTATGGGTGGCTCCACTTTAGCAATCCATATTGAAGGGCTGGCTTTACCAGAATGGTAGAGGAGTGCTATTGAGCCAGAATTCGTTCACTCTGTGCGGTGGATGACGTCTGCGAGCGTTTCCTTGTCTTCTCCCTCTAGATCACCTGCACTATGGATTGAGGAAAGTTCAAAAATTTGCTGCAACAATGTAATTTTGTTATCTTAACCCAACCCAACAGACCACCACTCCCCT